TTACTTCAAATATGGTCGACCTACGGCCTAATCAAATGAACGACATAGTTTCCATCACAAGCTATGGCATTCTGCACCACAGGTCGTTCGCTCTCGGGCCTCCAGAGAGGACTCCGGCCGACGTCCGGCTCGTCCCGGGTCCGCGGCACCGGGACGGGCGCGGTTCGTCCCGGTAGGCGTTCGCACCGTTGGGTCGAGTGGGGTCCAAGGCTCATCAACGCCAAGACCACAATGCAGTAGAAAAAGATAAAAATCAGAACCTCAGTGCCAACGAGTGCAGGTCAGGTTGTGGGAGGTCATGCAGGTCAGGTGTGATGCCATGCGTCAAGATATGGAAGCTCGTGTCGAATCCAAAAGAGCCTAGCAACTGAGCGCAAGCTGAATGACTTATGCTCCTTCTGCATCTGCGTACTTTTGACTGACCCCCCTATACATTATATAATATCATTACTGTACTATATATATACTTATGTACATCATACATACACCCGGGAAGATTAACATGGAACCTGAAAATGGACCTTTGGAAGACTACTTTCCTCTACAACCCAGTGGTTTTCAGGTTCTATGTTAATCTTCCCGGGTGTATATCATCATATATCATACTTCAGCTTATGTGCAGCACTTGGAGATCTTGGAGGAACATTGCTTACATGGGCCTGCGTTTACACGCAAAAGCAACAGCACCGCAATGCGAGCTACGCGCTCGCCCGCTGTGCATTATTTGGAGCTGGCTCATGAGCTTAATTACGCAGGAGCATTCTGGAAACGTGGCTTGCAGGTTGTATATTTTGCGTATGCACACCTTCGACATCACAAGGCCCTGACCAAATAGCGCAGTTATTTCTCTTGGTGAACAGCTCGAGGATAGAGAAGAAACCAAATATCTCGCGGGGACAGTGTTCACCATCCCAAGCGATTTGTCCCCTGCAAATGGACGAACCCTGAGAATTCACGTGGTGAACCGACCATTTTCCTCTCTACAATCCACCGGTTTGGGGGGGTCCAAATCTGGGTAGTGTATGGTAATGTGACGCCGTGAGCGCCACCATACCCCACCATACCCCACCACCCCCCCGTTCTTCACCCGGAACACCGTGGCCCGAATCCGTGCCGGGTGGTGGCCCGAATCCGTGCCTGGGGCCCTGACGGAGATGGGATCCTGGCCACGGAGATCAGCTCGGATCCGCTACAAATAACTCAGCGGATGGCTCTACAGCTATACCCGTTCGGGCTCCAACTATATCCTCAGGTTCGGGGATTAGACCCCCCTGGCACCTACCCCAACCACCGGGCCAGGAGCCCTACAAATATATCCCCACCGGCAATGGAAGGGCTTCGCGGCTTCGCCCGTTTTTCAATCGCCCCAGCGGTCGACCCTCCGCCCAACAACCCCTACCGGCCCTTGGAGGTCACGACCTGCACGGCATGTTGCTCTGGACACGTGGTGCCAAGTGAGTGGAGACCAGACTCGGTCAAGGGGGTTGAGTAATTACATGTTCCGATTTTGTGAAAGACAAGGGTAGAGCCATGTAAGGGGCATTGTTTCCACCAATAGCAAACGAGTGTTCAGCCCATTTTGTGCCACCAGCCCTTCTTCAAACGCCATCTCCATCAACGTCAAATTCCCAAGGCCCTGATGATCGGCTTGGCTGTATCAACGAGGCGGGCGACGCGGTTTGGCTGACGACTGCGCCTTCTGAACCAGCGGCCACACAATGGCGTCAGCCCATTGGTCCCGCAGGAGAACCTGGAACATGGTGATGACCTCGGCCACATCCAGGTAACTGACAATGGGAGGGGATGACTTCCAACTGGATGCCTGCATGATGCCTCTATACTATCAATGACCACCCAAATGCAGCATTCGCATTGCCGACAAGACCTTGCTGGACTCTTAAAGCAACCAAAGCAAAGCCCCAGAGTGCAAGTCAACTTGCACCAAATGAACGTGCATACCGCTCAAAAAAATTCAAAAAATAGAAAAAAAGGGCTGACAAGCACGGGAAAGGGTGGAAAAACAACAACTCACTTGAATCAAACAATTGTTCGTTCATGTTCTTTCTAAGCAAGGGCACCCTCATCAAACAACATCTCGGATGCACTCCGAGTTAAGCACTCATGCCGTGGATTAAAAGACCGCAGGGCCCGCAGACTCGGATAGCCGTTGGGCCGTTGGAGTACGAAAAAGATCTACAGTAAGGTGGTTTTCGCGCCACGCCCATCTTAGTTCTCCTTGGAGCGTCGGAATCAAGACCAAGGGGAAACCGAGCCAGCACCTGGCCCTCACACCGAGCCAGCACCTCACACCTTGCATGCTGAGTTGCCGTGTTTCCTGCAAAGGCAGTACGTGCAAAGACCGTTGGAAGACTCAAGTCCCCATCACACAGGGTGCGAGTGCCTCGACAACCAACTTTAGGTCTCGTTCCAGTTGAAATTCATTGCTATGTAAAAGGGCGAAGCATGTCCAAAACCCTTTGCTAATAAATACGTTGACTATCTTTGATTCGTGCAATATTGACCATGAGTTCACTGGTGCACATCTGTTACATGTGTATATATATAACATATTCCATAAACATTCAGCTCTTCCATTGAAGTTGGCATCCATCTCTCTCTGAACCTTTTCCACGCATTCCATCACGCCGCAGTCCTACGGATCCCCAGTAGTCATCCACGGTCCAAGAACCTCGGGATAGATCCAAGTCCTGGTGACAAGCGGGGCCATGGACGGTAGTTGCATGTTTTGTTTATGTTTGTTCATGCACTTTGCAACAAGAATCCAACAGGTATGCCAGGTATTCTACTATGGTTTCATCTGCTTCTTCCATCAGAATCCAACAGGTATGCCAGGTTCTTCCATCAGAATCTAACAGGTGTGCCAGGTATTCTACTATGGTGTCATCTGCTTGTTCCATCCACCACCACTTACACAGAAGCTGGATGTTCACATCTTTGTTCACCACTCACCCCTCATAAGCTGATCCAAGAGCCGGAAGCCACCCCATAAGGAACCGATCCTCTAGGAGTTCGGATACGGGCCATTTACATGTATTGACTAAGCCGCTTCTGACAGTGAAGGGTAACAAACCGCCGCTTGCAGCAGTGAAGGGCGACCAAGCGCCGCTTCTGACAATGAAGTGCCAGCAGTCATGGGCTGCATGAACTTATGCACGGAACATCATACGGTGTTGTCGCTTGAGTGTTCTTTGTCTATTAGCGCTGTGGGGTATTTACACTCTTCAGGTTCTGTTTTGGCCGACAGTGTCAAGGGCTGTACTGTTTGCGCGCATACTTTTCTACGTATAATGTTACGTTCTATGCGCAACGTCAGGCTCTCAACCGACCATTGTTTCAGCATGTTTCAGCATGCTACACACACAATAGTCGTGCTGGACACTGCTTGGCCTTGGGCGAGTGAAGCCTACGGGCTTTGCCGCTTGTGCGCATAATGTGCGCGTAAACTTGTACGCGCAAGGTCATACGGCCTTATTGTTCTGCAGATCGTTGCTTCAAGCATCCTACAAAGTCAATAGTGGCGCTGGATACTGCTTGGCCTTGGGCCAATGACACTTACGGGCTTCGAGACAGGTTGCTGGTGCCGGGTGCTGGGTGCCGGTGCGTGCAGTGACCTGGCTGTGCACATGGTAAGAAGAGGTTGCTGGTGCTGGTGCTGGTGCCGGGTGCCGGTGCTGTGAGCTGGCGGTGCTGGTGCCGGGTGCCGGTGTTGGTGCTGGGTGCCGGGCGCCGGTGCTGTGAGCTGGCTGTGCACGTGGTGGAGACAGATTGCTGGTGCTCGCCTGCCATCGTGCCCCAATGTTCGACGATCAGGAGGAAGGAAAGGAACAAAGACGCCTTGTTAGCTTCTTGTTACTAGTAGTAATAGCCTCCAACCTACTAGCGATGGCCTCCAACCGACTATATAGAAGAAACATAGCAAAAAGACAGAACAACTACAGTGGACAACGGATGGCCCGGGAGCGTGGAAGGAAAGGTTATGTAGAGGTTAAGTAGAAGAAAAAGTCCTGCAACTGATTTGGAAATTGTATATTTGGAAAACTGGGCATCGCATCCCAAGTGTCGGAGGAATATTATATATGCCTACATTGGGGTGGTGCCAGGCAGTCAATGGGGCGGCATATATGGCAGTCCCATGTGTCGTGTCTGGGATTGGCAGTTCGCCATCCGCCATCCGCGCTCTCCCGAGGCGAAAGGCGAACGTTGCTTAAGCTTCGTTCGTTCGAAGCAAAGGCGATCGAATGAAACCACGAAAGATCACACACCGAAGTAGTAGACTCTGGATGAAATAATCACCCCCTCTATTCAGGGGGATTGTTCGATTCAAACTTGGCGTGGTGTATTCATCAAGAGTCTACACTGAGTCAAAAGGTTCGTTCAACACAAAAAGGCCTTGGTCAGGTGGGCTGTGTCCCGGTGGGCTGTCTGGTTCCCAGTCGTCCCAGTTCAGGTCTTGAGTGGCATCAGCCGCCAGTTCCATCCGCCCGAGGCGGGTGATCCATCCCATCGGTCTCGACTTCGCACCATGGGATGACTTCGAACCATGCGTGTGCGCCTCCCCAAAGTGGTCTCCTCTTCTCGTTTCTAGGGAGGGGAGGGGCCTGACTCCGAAGAAGCGAGGGAGAATCGGACATGCTGAGGAAGGAAGGCATGAGTCGATGTGTTAAATTTATTCTTTCTCTCCAAGCTAGGGTCAGGAATACCTCGGCAAAGAACATAAAGAACCCTGGATATGAGCTGTACCTTTCTCAGCCAGCTCAACGTTGTCCATGCGTTCTCAGTTCTCAGTCACCATGCTTTGACAACTCTTCCAACGTGTTCGAGTAGCACTCCACTCTCATGTGGCAAACAAGTGCATGCTTGGACGGCCAAGAATTTGCATGCGAGTCATTCATAACTTAGGTTAACTTAGGTTTGTTCACAATCTCATGCCGCTCTCCTCGCTTCACAGGCCACACTTAGTACTGGCCTGCGCCCTGGCTCTACCCCAACCAGTCGGCAACTTCAATTGTAACGTCTGCCACATGGACTTCCACACCGTTACTCCGTTTTTCACCTCCAAACATGAACGCATAAAAACACAAAACGCTGCAAAAAAAAAACAAGAAAAGCACCTCCACATCCGTCCCGCATCCGCGGTCCAGTGAGGGATCCGTCAAAATGGAGATGGTGATCAGCACGGAGCACACCCAGGTGGTGCCAGCGATGAGGAAGCCAACCCAACTCAGTGTGAGTTGGGTGTGGCCGATTGGGTAGGCGTAGATATATGCGAGGCTGGGGGGGTTGGGAAGCGAACATTGGAACTGCTGGTGAGCTTCAAGGGAGGTTCTTGTGAGAGTTTTGACAACACTATACCACTAAATTCGCTCTAAATGATGATAGGAGGCATCTGGCCGTCCTTCCAATCGACCGTGCCTTGTCAAAGAAGGAAGTTTTCACATGGATAGAGGCTGCTACTGTGACAACTGTGTGTCTGTGCTATTTCTCTCGGAAGGTTCGGTCAAAGGATGTCGTTCCACCCGCCGCATCCGACGCATCTGTCTGTGTCATCCTAAGGGCGCAACAAGAGTGTCAGCAAGGTCTCCCGTAGCAAGGAGATCACGATCCAAAGCCTTCGTGGCCGATCGTGTTCCTCTGGGAAGGCGGAGAGGAACAACAACAACAACAACAACAACAACAACAACAACAACAACAACAACAACAACAACAACAACAACTACTACTACTACTACAACAAACCATGCTCGATCGAGACGGGGAGTGGGTGCAATGGCTGGTGCAATCTGCGATTTGCCACGAAGGCTACAGCTGGTGAGGGCCATTGGAATGCAATTCATCGAGGCTACATCTTAGCAGTACTTGCAAAAAGGATCAAAAAGGACCCTTGTGTCATGTTGTGCAAGCGAGAGTGTCTTGGGAAAGGACGCAGCAAACACTTTGGGGTTTGGGGACCATCACTCATACTCAAGCGAAACATAGAACATTGTGCTTGTATGTGTGTGTAATATTTATATACCTGTAGCAAGGAGGGACTCCCAAAGCTATTCTCAAAAAGTCTCTGAGTGGAAGCTTTTGCCAAGCACAGCTGTTGCTCGATGAGAATACCCAACCGGTGACCTACGATCAAATATCATGAGGCTTGCGAGCATGGTGGGAGAGGCCAATCCCAAATTTGGTTTAAAGAAAACGGGAATGTCCAACAAACGCAACTGGTTCAAAATGGGCCCCACCTTGGTAGGGTCCTCCACAGGTCATGGTGGCCCCATGTAACAAAAGCCGATCCGATGGAGAAATGTGGCATCCAAGTCTGGTGGAATAGGGGGTTCTTCCAAAAGAATGCGTGTGGAAAAAGAAGAACCAAACGTGTCAAACGTGTCATGGAACCCACACATCGCCCAAGGCACCGCCCCAACCAAACCCCAGGGCACCGCCCCCTGGCCCCCCATCTCCCCCCCTGCCCTGACCGCGAGATCCGCGACCCACTTCACCGATGTCCAAGGGGCTCCCGGAAACCTTTCCAGAGCTGAATCTCGCTGATGAAGAGACTAATGTGCACAATCCTGGTTCGTGGAGCCCCTGGTCGGCCCTGGGTTCTGTGTGAGTTGGACGATATATAGGGAGCCAGCAAGGGTTCAAGGCTCGGAGAAAAAGAGGTGAACATGACTTTTAGAGTCTTGGCAAGTGTGATTCGTCAATCCAAATGATGATAATGATATGCCAAACATTCAATCCACTAAGCACGAACGCGACTCAACGACTCACGAACGTTGGGATCTTCAAACCCCCGACGTGTCTGACGTGGCGAGTCCAAGAGTCTGGACCCATCACCGTCGGGGTGGTTGATGGACACCCCGGGGCTAAGCCCCGCTACGTCCCGACGTCCGACTGCGACAGTCAATTCCACAAGCAGAGGTTGAACCCTAGTTCGACCATCCTTGAGGGACCGCAGGTGACGGGTCCTATAAGGTCTCTTAACCTCTCTTGGAGTATTCACGCCTTAATTTAGTCATGAAATGTTATGAACAACTTGGCGAGAGCTGAAGCAAAGAGCTCCTGCAAGTTTATGGCAGGCCCCAGCTAGGACCCCAAGTTCATTTTGGTGCAATTTTAATCAGTTGGATCAGAGGTGCCCACTGCGCCCTTGCAGTAGTGTGAGATCATTGATATTCATTGATACTGTGGTCATCCTTTTTCTGCCAGCTGCAGGCAAGCGCATAGTTTTCACAGCTTGCTAGCCTTCAAGACAAAAAGAGCCAGGCAATAAACAGAAGAGCCAAGTGGAGACAATCTGCAGAAGCCTTGCATCAGTGTGCCTGCAAGAGACCCATGAAGTCCGGACTACTCTCAGGCAAATTCTTTGCTGGCCCAAAGAGCAAATCCTTCAGTACCTCTGTCATTTCAATCCTTTCCGAGCATTGCAAAGGTCTGGCAACAGCTTTGAAGAGCCCAGAGATTAAGCAACCGACCACAGGCTGGGTGGCATAAATGACTCCAAGCTGCCGTTCACGGCCTTGCCAAAAGTTCTTCCGCTCGAGGAGCGTTTGCATGCACCGCTGCGAAATGGCCTTTTCCCGTCCAAAGCTGCTGGCCAACAACGGCATGGCCGTAGCTTCACCAATTAGAGACGCTTTGCGCCCTGTAGAAGGGCCCAACAAACGCTCCTCTGCTTCTTCTTGTAGCCGAGGCACTCCAAGTATCCTGGCAGCCCGTAAAACCTCCAAACAATGAAGAGCCTCTTCCACCTGCTCCGCCTCCGGAAACGACGCCTTGGACATGGGCCGCCGGCCGCAGGGAGTCCACCACTGAGGAGAGGACGCCTTGGCACCGGGTCCCGCCAAGGCAAATTGCACCACGGCCTGTAGCGCGGAGCGGCTCACCGCATGGCGTCGAAGATCAAGGGAGCGAGTGTCGTCCAGCATCGTGGGCAGCAGCGGCAGGCGCGAGGCTAAGTGGCGCCCACCTTGCACCTTTAAGAGGCCATCGGTGAGATGAAAGTCAATGGCAGTGTCAGAACATGCAGAACTGGGTTCATCCAAGGATCCCCAGAAGGCTCCTGGTTCACAGGATCTGGCTCGCTTTCTTTCTTGTAAGATCGCCTCCCATCCACTGGCGGCCTTCTCTGCTTCGCTACATTGCCGTTTTTTCTGTCGACTCGAGGTCACCCCACACCATGCCTGTGAGTTCGAACACTGCTAGGTCGGCAACTAGCTTCCAGCACCTGGACTAGTTCCAAGGTTTGCTTGCAAAATCTGTTTGGAAAGGACATGGGACTAGTGGTTATAAAATAGATTCAACCACACTAAAATAGGACTGATGGCGGTCGACTTTTGCACTAAGGGTTTACCATGTCCCTATGTTGTTGCTCAGGCTTGTCTCATAGGCCGTACGCCAAACGTTGCAAGAAGGATACGTGCGGAAATTGATGTGTGATACACTGATACACATCATGCAAGTGGCCTTCTTATGAAAAATACTTGAGGCTAAAATGGCTTCCCAAACTTATACATGTGTGAGAAAATGTCCGCATCAGTCAGTTGACAGGTCACTACGTTCACCCATTTCGGCAATTCCAGTTTCGAACCCCCCCAAAGACACCCCATGTCGTAAGAAGCGTCACTAATGACTGAATATTATGTCATATTGGATTCATCGAATCTCTCCAAACTGTTTGGCAAACTCCCATAACCAGTTTTTTTTTTGCAAAGATTTTCGGGTAAAGTGTACATATACAATTTTGCAGAGATCTACAATGGATACAGAGTAGATGGCACAACCCCAAGATATCTTTTAGATGAAAATGCATATAGACCACCTAACTTGGGGGCCCAGACCTGCCATTGGTCCTCTGAATCCATTGTAGATCTCTGGGTGCCACTGCTAGCCACTGCTAGCCACACCGGTTCGCGAACCGGCGAATACCGACCTGTGACACACGCCGGAGTCGGGGACTCTCCTGAAGACGCTGGCAAACTTCAGGCCGCTATCGGTGCGTCCCAGCGGGGACAAGAACCACAAGTCGAGACATCGCATCACGGTGATGACCTCAGCGGTTTGGAGCGGCGGAAAGGTGTGGCCGCTTCCGTTGACTTGTGGCATGCCAAGTCGGTGAGGGTGACAACCATGTGGAACACTTGGAACACTTGATAGATCATCGCTGAAGAGCAAAGATGTCATGCACCTATAGGAAAACATCAGCTCAGTTCTTTTTCCGGCTATAGCTGTCCCTGAAGTCTCACGCCAGAGTGGTGCTGTTGCACCACAGCTCAAGGAAGATAGATAACGTAATAGAGGGAAATTATCATTGGAGGGAACACATGATATGGACCAGTTAGAACTACAAGCACTGGGATCCAATTAAAGGTGTGAGACTCCATGCAAGATTGAGCGAGGTCGATGCTAAGAGGGCCACGAAGTCAAAGATATTCATGACATCAATGCGGTACTCATCCTGCGTCATCGGCGAAAGGGTTTCCTCCAACGAGCAAATCCAACAAAATTATACTAGATGTGCTAGTAAGGAGAATTTGGCATGGTTGGCGCCATCCAACCCACAAGCAAAATATCTGCATCGATCTACCGGTTTGTCATAAATGCGTTCATTATCTTTCATCAACACTGGATGTTTCACATTCAAACGCACAATCGACTCAAATCATTTCTGCCACTCCGGTCAGGACAGTCAGTCAGTCCCAAACCACCCAAAGCACACCTCACGACCAAAAACCCAGCGCCATCGATGGTCGGTGCCTTGGTCTCGTCGCCCTTGAAGAAGCGCTTGGGCCGCGCCTCAGCGATCCTCATAATCAAGTCGACCACGAAGAAGACCTCGGGACGTCTCTTCCACGCGGTCGAGTGGGGGGATTCTCGGTCAGGACGTCTCTTCCTTCCGGGCCGGGCAAAGAGGCACCGCCACACAAATAAACAAGTCAATGTCTTCAAATCTCTGCAGGTCCACCACAGGATATACAAAGAAATGTACCTATTTATAAATATGCGTGTCATTAATCGTTATATGCACCTGGGCCCTCCAAAGTACCCTGGAACATGGGCTCTGTATGGCCCTGTAAAGTTGGTACTTAGTAACTATTTCCAGGTATAGTAGTACCGGGTCTCACACGACTCGTGCCCCCCCCGGCATCTTCCGACAGCGCGGGCCGTCTGCGATTTCTCTGGCCAGCCGGCCGGCTACGGGCTCAGTTTTGGCTCGCCGGCCCTGGCCGGCGGGCTGACTGAGAAATCGCGGGCCGCGTTAAGCTCGCAAAGAACAGCTGACCTTTCAGACCAAGAAGCCGTGATGACGTTCTCTAAGACCTGCAACAAGGGGTCGGAGAGTGGGTGGGTGTCTCACATGAAGAAAACATATATCCAACACGCTCCATGTACTGAAGATCAGCTTCTTCCTGTAATGCAAGACTCTTGATCAATAACCCCCACAACATTGGCCAGTAAAGCCTCTTCGACCTGGGGGAAGAGCGACTCTCAACTCGTTAAGTGTCTCTCCTTCCACGTTGGAGGCGCAGGTCGAACACAGCTGTGCAGGTGCTGTCCATGCGTGACGAACTGGCGAGTGAGTCGAACCATGCCCTAGGGCTCCAACCTCCGGAGAAGGTGGTTGGGGTAGGTGCCACGGGGGCACCTTCTGAGGATATAGTTGGAGCCCTGGATGCTTGGTTCTTCAGGTCCTCTTCTGCACTTCCGGCCTCATTGATTCAAAACAACTAAACGCCCACGCTCAAAGTCCTGAAACACGGAAGTGGAGTTTCACCACCTGTTTTTCGCTATTCCTTTCGGGGCCATGGAAAAACGACCATCCACTTCCATCTTTCATTCAGGGGGTGGCCAGGCCCTCCATTTGGGTCGGTTGCTCTGTTCGACGACGCCGGACGACGCCGGACATCGGCCTCCCAGGTGTACACGAAGCCATCGGGGCAATGCCTCGTGTGACCTGGCATCGGTATCCGGACAGATCCCAGAAAACACGTCGCCAAGACGACGGAATCCAAAACTACCCCATGGCCAGACCAGATTCTAACATCCATATTAGATCATCAATTAATGTCAATCACTGGCTTCCAGGGGTTGGGGAAGATGTGCTTGCTCCCTGGGGAACACGTTTTGGCGACCCGTTCGCTCCCGGCAACCCGTTGGGGCTCCAACCATATCCTCAGGTTCGGTGCTTAAACTCCCCTGGCACCTACCCCAACGACCGAAACGGAGGTAGGCCTGGTGCCCTAGGGTTACATCACGTAATGAAGGTGCCCCTCTGTGCATCAACCCGCTGAGCCTCTACTAGGCCTTCTGTCCGCCTATGGTGGGAACCCACATGCTCCCACTGACATGGTGTCCCACTGAGCAGTCTGGGATGATGAACATGACTGAAGATGACTGAGGGCTGAAAAATCCGCGGCAACCACTGACTCTACCAAAATGGAAGTCACTCAACGTGGCTGTTCTCTCTCTCTCTCTCGCAGCAGCCGTGCTCGTATGATGACTCTGAGGCTTGAACATCCAAAGTCCGCACGCAGCGCCATGACCTCCCGAGCTGGGCTACCTCTTGTTTGGTGTGGTTCTTCGCCCTCTGATAGCAACTGTTTCACATAAGAAGAGTAGGAAAACCAATGCATTCTGAATAGTTGCCACATGTTGCTACGCAGCAATCCTTGGCCAGCTGATATGTACTGATCTCGTTTACCGTTCTACCATTTTACCCCACACTAAGGAGCATCCACAGCGAGGAATTCAATTCTCCCCCATTCATTCCAACACGAGAACTGGTTCATTGATGAGAACGTCTGTTTGGTCCTCACATTTGAGGAGTTCGAACCCAAGATGTTCTGAATTAAGGTCGTGCACATAATCTGCCTGACTTGAACTGAACAAACCGAGAACGGGTGCAAGGGCCACCAAGGTGGGTGGTTTTCTGACCCCTGATTTCAGGCCTTCATTGGGCCCCTGTTTAGGCCAAGGTAGTGAAGGCTGAAATGCCAAATCACCTGAAACATGATATGCTAAGGCAATGGGTCGCTACAGTGCTTCGAAGGATGGAGTGTGCTGTGCCACGACGAGGTTTCTCTGTGCAGCCGGTAATATTATGACGCCAAAAACACGAAGTTCCATAAAGCCTCGGCACCGTTTTGGCAAGCACCCCTTCGAAAGGAAGGTGGGGAACAAACCGGTGAAAGCGGACCGTTTGGGTGGCCACTTCCCACAACAGAAAACAGACCCAAACAGGATTGTCCTGGCACACGTGAAAAAACACCATACATTGCTTGGTGAACATATCGCGGAGACGAGTCACTCTTTGTATGCACCTTTTTCCTTGTCACGAGACTTAGCACGATAATCCAAATGACAAAGGTGTTCCAAGTGCCGCCGTTGTAGTGCGGGTATGTGTGTTTGGCCCCCAGTCCCCAGCAGTCCTGCACGTTTACCAAACTAATGATCATGAGATAGGCACCTCAGTGGCTGTGGCTGAATTTCAGCTTAGAAGGCAACACACTGCATCAGTACAAAAACACAAAACACACCATAATTGAGTGAATGGTTTCGGGCAAATGGGTGCACCTTAAAATGTTATATGTATTCAACACTTCTGTCTTTTCTGACTTGGCAAGCCCCAAGGCATTGCTTGAGCTTGCTTGGATAGCATGTTCCAGGTTTGAGGGTTTTTTTGGGGTTTCAGCCTTGTCCATGCACTGGTTCGTTCAGGAACGACCGAGCTTTCATATGCCCACCAAGGCACGAAAAGCGAAGCGGCGTGTCCAGAGTTCCGGCTCCAGCTTTGTCTTCAAGACGCCCATGCCCTGGGTGAAGACGAACTTGCATTGCATGGCAATGCCAATACGCATGCTGTCATTGCAAACAAACTTTGGCCTGTTTATGTTTGTGTTGTTTTTTCCGTCCGCCGTCCGGGCTTTGGTGTTGGTGGCTGCAAGGTTCATCTCCCAAAGACGCCCGAGTGGCTGATAGTATAAATCGGGCTGGACAGCTCCCCTCGACGGGAGGTGGGTGGGGGTGGACCCACAGCCGCCAACCCAGCGCGGGGACGCTCTATACGCGGGACTGGCACCTCGCCGGCCACTCGGGATGCATGTCTAAAACAACCCCCAAGGATCAACATAGCCACAACATAGCTCCAAGATGGGTCAGAATCAAGATGGGTCAGAATAGCCCCAACATGGCTCCAAAATGGATCAACATAGCCACAGCATAGCCCCAAGATGGGCCAACATAGCCCCAACATGGCCCCAAGATGGATCAATATAGCCACAACATACCCCCAAGATGGGTCAACATAGCTCCCAACATGGCTCCAAGATGGGCAAACATATAGCCCGAACATGGCTCCAATATGGTTGTTCTCTCGGACCCCCACCGAGCCCTGCTTATGCCGCCTGCACCCTACAAGGCCTGCACCTGCCCGCTCTTAGGCGTCAGCTCTTAAATATATCAGATATACTATGAGATATTCCCATTCCCTGTAAGAGTCGATTATGATTGTTGACCGACTGTTACAGGTTGTGGGACACCCCCAAGGTACATAGAACAACCAGGAATCCTCTGGAGTTCTCCGAAGCATGTCCAGAAATTTAGAGAAAAAGCCGCAAAAAGGTGTGGCTATTGTGGCGACATCCCAAACAAGAGCAAAGCAACCCGAGCAATCCAACCATGGTGGCACCTAATGTGGCAGCATCGTGCCATGGGAAACGTTGTGGTGCACACACCGGCTCAAGCATCATCTCAATATAGATACCAATAGTAGATAACATTAAGCGATAGACTATGAATTTAACAGCATATTATATGAGTTAATTGAATGCTTGAGGCAGCTTATGACCAAAGTAAAAGTACACGTACGGAAGTTTTATCAGACACTCATCTGATGAAAATAGCGGGTCAATGGTACTGCACATGCCCCACTGCAGATCCTCCGCGAAATGACGGTGATTTCGGTGCCGATTGTGTGCACAAGTGTGAACAAGGTGCCGATTGTAGTGACCCCAAGCCAATATGATTCCCGTTGAATCATCTTGATGCTGTTTCCCGCCAAAAGGACCCGCTCATCTAGGTTTCGGTGCACATGTTTTGGTGGTACACATGTGAGTCGGTTGAGCCCAACATGTGAGTCGCAAAGTCCGGGCGTCCGTCTTGTCAAACGCGGAAGCAAAGACGATCCATCGGTGATTGGAGAATGAATCGAAGAAGTCGGCAGCAAAGTCGATTGAGTTCGGCAAATCCAAGCAGCCAGAAAGATGTCCCCTCCCGACACTAAATGGGTTAAGAGCCAATGAGCCGGGACGGATTCCCGCATGCAACTGCACATAGAGTGGCTCTTCCCCAATGTCTGGCTCATATTTGGCTCTTCCGAACCCTCCCGGAGAAAAAAATAGCAAAAAACACTTATATAAAAACACCACCGTTGGACCA